GCAGCAGCAGCAGCAGCAGGAGAAGGCGGTGAAGTGGTGATAGTTATGGTGGAAGCACATGTCGTGCCAGTTCTCAAACTCCGATCCCATCAAGCCAAAGGCAGGCGACCGGCGGGCGCGTCAAGCCTGTGGATGCGGACATCTTCAAGAGCAAAGCGGGCAGCACGCGGCAAGGGCGCGCCAGCCACGGCGTTCCTTTCTTGAAGGTTTATTGTTTTCGATGTATCTTACCCTGCAACCAACTGCAGGGTGCAAAACCAGGTGGTCGGAAGCACTCAATTGTATTTCAAGTGCTCTTTCTCCTAGGCTAAGTTTAACCAGAGGGATCACTTGCATGAAGACGTCCCAGAAGCAAATCTGTGCACAGGGATTGAACATGATTGGTATTCGGAGTGTTATTACTATGCTTGCTACTTTGGTAAGTCTTTGTCGATCACCGCCGGCCAGTCCTTCTTGAACGAAGAGTAGTTGAACGACCGCATCAGCGCTGCGTACACTAGCCCAGTGTATGATCAGAGTCTATTCGTTGATCCCTTATACTACGGTACAGTTATGTACAGTTGGTACTGAAACAGGCTGTCCTTTCTTTGCAAAAGTAAGCCTGTAACGTACAGCAATCGATGCAATGGGTGCAGTGCTTTGCTCCGCTCTAATTGACGCCACAGGATGGGCCAAACCGCACAGAGCACTGCGGTGGGGCTGCCTTGCTTGAGGTCTTTAATGACCCCGTGAAACAGGAGTCTGTAGATGGGAATGTACATATTACATATATATATATATATATATAGATATGGAGTGTATACACATACATAGATACGTATGTACGCATGCCCATGCAATGTGGCGTGTGTATCCATCCTTCAGCCTCTCTCTCTCTCTCTTTCTCTCTCTTTCTCTCTCTGTCGTCCTCATATCCATTTGTCCTTCATGTTGCCTGAGTTTTTCACCCATTAATCAGACTCTGCCGTGATCGATCTGTCCGTGTGCGTCTATTGACCGTAATCCGTCGACCCAACAACTTGTGTGGACCCATGAACCGGCCTGCCGACGCACCTATCTTGCTGTTTACTCCGTCAGTTGAGGATGTCGACAATCCATCGAGCCATTGATTGATCCGTCGATCGCCATGCTCGTCCACCCATCGTTCCGGCGGACATATGTAACTCTCTCTCTCTCTCTCTCTATATATATATATCGTCTTTTCACCGCCAGTCTGTCCATCTAACGTCTCTCTCGCTCTCTCTCTCCCTCCAGCCACCGTCTGCTTGTTCGATCGAGCCGGTGAGTGCTTCGGTATCCCTTGCTCCAGACCGACAAAGCCTGCTGCGTCGGCGTCTATCGGCCTTCTTTCCCTTCGCGTTCTTTCATCGAGGCTCATCCTGAGTTAGGGCTCCGCCAGGAAGAAGCACCAGGAAAGCCGGCACCGACACCATCACCAGGCCCCCGCCGGGCTGTGGCAGGGGGCGCGGCTTTCTCATGTGCCTCGGCGTCTTGCACCCAAACGTCGACAGCACTGCTGCGCACGAGGAGCCACGGCAACAATGGCCATTTCCATGAAGTCGATGAATCTAACGGTCGGAGAGAAGACAGAGGCCACCCTTCTCCGTTGACTTTCGGGTTCATGGGAAAAGAATTGATTGTGCAGAGTTTCTAGCTATCGGAGATTCATGTCATATGCACGTCGATGCATCTTTCGCAGGGAAGGCAGATGCCTGAGAATGACACAAGTGATGAGGTTTTTTTTGGTTTCATGTCTTCGCAGATTCTCGGCTCGAAGATCCCCCGCCATGCGCCGGCCATCATGCGGCGCCTCGCCTGTCTGAGTTTCGGGTTGCTTTGGCTCACAGCGAGCTCGGAGCAGTCTTCACCGAAGCTGCGCGGGCGCTCGAAGCAGTCAGGCACTTCGATCACCTGGGCTGTAGAAGGGGACTGCGTCGCTGAGGGTGCATGCGTCAGCAGCCCGGGATATCCGGGATCGTACGCAAACGATGATGGCTGCACCATCACGCTGCTGCAGAGGCCCTCGGTAGTGAGGATCGTCGCATTCTCCACAGAAGCCCGATATGACAGACTGGTGATCGAGGGTCGTGCATTTAGTGGCTCTGGCGAGGGAGTTGTCGGTACGTCTTTCCCGGTTTGGTCTGAAATTGGGTGGACGTCAGATGACTCTGTTGCTTCCACCGGTTGGGAGCTTTGTGTCGAAGAGCCGCCTTCTTGTGAGGATGGACTGCAGCTGAGACCGGTGCCAGTTTCAGAATGCCCCGGGGTTAGTGAGCCTCTTGTGAGCTGTGATGCCGCGCAGCCAGGTGAGTTCTGCGAAGGCGACGGCTCGTGCGGCACACGGACGGACATCAATAACTGTTACGATGCTCAGTACTCCTATCCAGCTTCACGAGATGTGTATCAGAAAGCTACTGGTACAAGCAGGACTGTTACCACAACATTGAGCTCCGTCACTTCAATGACATCCACCACACTGACCGCAACACTCGGTGCAGCGAGTGGCCAGCCATCTTGGTCTGTCTGGGGCGACTGTCAACTTGTAGGTGCTTGTGTGCGAAGCAGCAACTATCCCGGAGAGTATGGGGGAGACGAGCACTGCACAATGGCTGCCCCACTTCCTTCTGTGGTGACCTTTGCTGCCTTTTCCACCGAGATCGGCTACGACCAAGTGACCTTGAATGGCGCGTCCTACAGTGGTCAGACTCCCGAGGGCAAGACCATGGTGGCTTGGACCAACATCTCTTGGATCAGCGACGACTCGGTGTCGGGCGGTGGTTGGGAGCTGTGCCTGGATCCTCTGCCCTCCTGCGCCGACGGCCTGCTCCTGGCTCCGGTCGCTGTGAAAGATTGCCCAGATCCCTCAGAGCTTCTTCCGCTCTGTGATTCCGCCGAGCCAGGTGAGCTCTGTGAGGGCGGTGCTAGCTGTGGAACCAGGGAGGATATCAACAACTGCTACGATCGCTTTTACTCCCATCCTCCCTCCCGCGATGTCTACCGTAAGACTGCGGGGACGACCAGAACACTAACAACAACTACAACCACAGTCAAGACCCAGACAACCTACACAGGCACACGCCCATTGGTAGTCGGCTCCTACTCAGGGCCGGTTCCCTGGGTTGTGGATGGTGACTGCGGTACTTTCGGTGCATGTGCCGAAAGCCCCAACTTCCCGCAGCCCTACGGAAACAAGCAGAGCTGCACATTGTCGCTGCCGCAGCCTTCAGTTGTGAGAGTGACCTTCTTCTCCACGGAGGATGGCTTTGATGAAATGTACGTGAACGGAGACGCCTACTCCGGCACATCCATAGCCGGCACAAAAATGGTGGTTTGGACCAACATTACTTGGGCATCTGATGACAGTGTGACTGGCGACGGGTGGCAATTGTGCGTCGAAGCACCGCCCTACTGTTCCGACGGACTTGGCTTGGTTCCGGTGGCAGTTTCCGAGTGTCCGCTCCCTTCCGATGTGCTGCCGCCTTGTGCGGAGGCAGCACCTGGTGGGCTCTGTGAAGCAAATGGCGACTGTGGAACCAGAACGGATATCAACAATTGCTACGACAGTGCGTACACACATCCAGCGTCACGTGATGTCTACAGGAAGCTCAGCGGCACTACTTCCACAACATTGTCAGCCACGACCTCTTCCGAGACAACTCAGACATCGACGATTACAGCTACAGTCACACAGATCGCCGGGTTCTGGGAAGGACCCGCGCCGTGGACGGTTGAAGGCCCTTGCAAGCTGCATGGCGCCTGTGTCGAGAGTCCCCGCTTCCCTCTGCCCTATTCAAGCGGCGAGGCATGCTCTCTGTCGCTACCGCGGCCGTCGGTGGTGCGCGTGACGGCTTTCAGTACCGAGGCTGAGGATCCGCTGACCATCAATGGCGAGGCGGTCTTGGGAGAGGGCCTGGAAGGTAAAGTCTTCACAGTGTGGTCCAACATCTCATGGAGCCCCAGTGGCACTGGCAAGGGCTGGCAAATCTGTTTCGAAGAGCCGCCATCCTGTGCCGACGGCCTGCCCCTCACCCCTGTGCCTGTGTCGGACTGCCCGGCACCGGCTTTGGGACCCCTTCCAGGCTTGAATGTGAGGGGACATTTTGGGCTGTTGCACCCCGAACCGGAAACACTCCCATATATAAACACACAAATGATCTTTTGACGCCTTAACTGTTAAACTCAAAACCCGAATTTCCAAAACCTGATCCGCGTCGTACTAGTGCAGGAGTGCCGCTGAGAAACCACGAGTTCTATGTCTCAGCTCTTCCTCTCAATAGTAGCAACAGTAGTAGTAGTAGTAGTAGTAGTAGTAGTAGTAGTAGTAGTAGTAGTACGACGACGACGACGGCGGCGGCGGCGACGACGACAACAACTACTACTACTAGGTGTAGTAGCAAGAGGAGGAGGAGGAGGAGGAGGAGGAGGAGGAGTAGGAGGAGGAGGAGGAGGAGTAGGAGGAGGAGGAGGAGGAGAGGATCGCGAGGAGAGTATAGGAGCAGGGGTAGCAGTAGCAGTTCGGAGCTCTCCCTGTCGTCTGACGGGGATTCGAAGCCATCGAGCAGTGCAGAGGTCGTCTTTTTCCCAATAGCTTGATCATTATCTTATTATTCTTATCTTATTATTATTATTATCATTATTTTTTTATTATTATTCTCATTCTCATTATTGTTGTTTTTCTCTTTTGATCCCCTGAGGCTGTGGCTCTGCCAATGGGGGTGAGCTGTGTCTCGGGGACGGACAGTGCGGCACGAGGGACGACATCAACAACTGTAACTGGGCTCCTGCATGGAAGCCGTTCATTTCCTTCTGTTTAGGACTCGAACGTTGAGCGCCAGTTCACTGCTTGTGGTTTCTGTACACATGTTTTTGGTAGGGGTCTGCCTGTCTTTCGAAAAAGGGTTTCTGTGTCCCTGAATTCTTGGGTCCAAGAAACGGGGGCCCAGGCTACGATGCGGCCTTCACATATCCGCCATCCTTGGATGTTTACCGCAAGGGCAGAGGCACAACCAAGACCAGCACCACTGTGAGCTCTGCAACGCAGACGACCAGTGTGACCGTCACAACCACTCACTGGTACGAGGAGGGTCCCTGGCGACTCGTCGGTTCATGCACTGTCACTGCGGATTGTGCCAAGACTTCTGGCGATGGGATGTGCACCTTCACGCTCCCGAGGGGCACGCCTGTGAAAGTGACGCATGCGGGCTCCGCGAATTCTGAGATCTTCAGCATCAATGGAGTTGAGCTGACACCCAGTTCACTAGGTGAGACCTTCGTGGTTGACACGGAGATATCCTGGAAGTCGGATCAGGACGGGACAGAGAGCTGGTGGGAAGTCTGCATAGCGACACCTTCTTGCAGCGATGGTTTGGGGGTGTTGCCCATAGATTCGGCAAAGTGCCCGGCGAGCACGGCTGACCTCCTCAGTTGCGGGGCTGCGCAGCCTGGAGACCTTTGCTTAGGTGATGGTGAGTGCCTGACCTATTCTGGCCTGAACAACTGTCCCCCAAACGCAATCTACATGAAGGAGGTGGGTACGACTCTAACGGTCAGCAGCACGACATCCGTGACCGCAACCTTCACCCCGTCGGCTTGGCAAGTCACCGGCCCCTGCACGTTGAGTGGCACATGTGTGCAGAGCCCCAACTATCCAGAGCCGTATGGACCCAACGAGCGCTGTGAGTTCTCGCTCCCTCCGAACTCAGTGGTCACGATCGTGGACTTTGCCACGGAGCTCAACTACGATCGGCTGACCATCAATGGTCGGGACTACAGCGGCCCAGGCCATGCGATCGTGGGCAAGCCCTTTCTCGTGGAATCCCTGTCTTGGAGGACTGACGAGTCCCGCTCCGACAAAGGCTGGCAGCTTTGCCTCGAGGAGGGTCCGGGGAGAAGCCTCGAAATGGTGCTCTAAGGCTCTGAGATTGATCTGAAGCTGAGGTCCTTGGAATCCCTACTTAATGATCTTCCATTTATCTTGCTATATCTTGCCACAACAAAGGCGTGAATTTAGGTTTGCAAGATCCTGCACAATGATGAAGCCATGCCTACGATTTTGCCCAGTATGTAAAGCTCGTGGGGCCGTGGCTGCCAAGGTTTTTGCAAAGGAAACAAGTAGCTCGGGCACTGCAGGACTGCCTGCCTGCAGCTTCCCCGTAGGGTCGAGTCTAGACTCCAGACATCGCCGCGTTTCCGCGTAGAGGTTAGTAGATCCAGAGTGATCGCGCTAGTGATGAGTCTGTCGAGAAGATGCCCTGGCAGTTCTGCAGTCAATTTGGCAACGCAGACGAGGGTGTGAATGCCCGCCCCTCCAGCGTCTAGCTTATGATGACATCACGCAGTGGTCGACACTGTGAGTAATGATTCAAGAGCTTGCGGAAGTCATCATCCTAGTCGCACACGTGAAGCTGCACAAGATCCTACGTCACCACAAGAGTCGGTGGGAGCTAGGCAGCAGGAACTGCTGCAATTCGCTGTCGCATCTTTTGTGCGAGGGACTTCCGCAAGAGGAGGACCTCGCCAAGAACTTAGAATGGGCTCCCTGGCGGGACAGAGAAGAAAGGACCCACAGCGGTCGGAGGGCCCGCCGGAGGCGAGCCCAGAAAGCGTGTGGCGCGGTGCTGGCGCCTGAAAAGACACCGGTCACTGCAGTGAAGAGCCTGAGACCTAGCAATTCGACCGCAAGCCAACGCAGCCGTCAGGAGTCGGACATTCAGGTCACGGGCGAGTACCTGACCAACTACCTCAAGGAAAGAGGTGGTTTGTTGGGGTCAGTAGTCCCGGACTCTTGGTTCAGCAGTTCTTGCCAAGGGAAGCCCTAACAGGCCCGTGAACCCTGCCACATACAGGAGATGGATGGCGACGACTCGCAGTTCAAGGACAACGATTTGAATGGAGCACGATAGGCCTTTTTTCCCAAGAGGGCAGGTAGAGATTTCTTAGTGCTGAGGTCAACAAGTTTTCGTTAGGCAGTAGGGACGTGCAATCATTGCATCTGCATTGCCTCGAATGTTTCTCGTTGAAGCGCGGATCACTACGGATCTCTACTACCGAAACGCAATCTTCAGATGTGTCGGAGGACATCAATGCCGCAGCCCGGTGCTGAGAAAACTTCAGAGACAGCAGCTTGGAGCCCGATCACATATATATATATATATAAGTCATATATAGATGCATATATTTAATGTATATGTATGTATAAAAACGAAACTTACCTGCAGGCATATATGTACGTACACATATTTCCCCACGTTAAATGTGTGCTATGTGTTTGACAGTGTTGGTATTTGTTGCACACCTGTTGCAGTCAGTAACTGCCTGTGCACTGCATTGTGTGATCAATATCTTTGAGTCTCAAGCCTTGTATGATGGACAGGCTTGTAAGCCCACTCGTAGGGCCAATATCAGAGTAATTTTGCAAAATAGCACTTTGACCTTTGGCCTATCGGCAGAGATGTTACTATTCGGGTCAGTATGGACGTCCACAAGAGTCAGTGCTGGCGTTGTGCTACAAGGATTCTCTTTGCCACAGGTTTAATATAATCAGTGGATAAGGCTTGTACCAGGCTAAGACTAGAACTGCTATTCCAAACAAACCCGGCGCTACTTGGAAGGTAAGCAGTAAGGTTGCAACCAGGCTCCCGGAATCGCCATGCCTGCTATTGCCGGGGAGGAGTGTTAGAATCAGAGTTCCTGTTGGGACCAATATCAGGGCTACCGTTTCGAATTAGGAGTCAGTTCAGGACTCTGTTTATACATGTACCTGCTCAGGCTTTAACTTTATGCCTAGGATTGAGATTAACATAAAGGTTGCTCGTGGTGAAGGTATAAGCACTAGCAGGAATTAGCAAGCCAGGTCAGTTACGACCGGCATACTAAATGCTCATGGTATGTTTGCTAGATTCGGATCAATAAAATGCTTAGAGGCCAGCTACTAAGGCCACTCACTATTGGAGTTGCATTGAAGGGTTGATCGCAGGCTTAGATTATGCGTGATATTCGGGTTGCTATTTGGATTCAGTTTGTAGTCAGACATGAAGGAGATCACAACGGTTCAATGTCATTTCTAATCAGGTTAACACTAAGCTTGAGGGCTTTATTGGCACTGATATTGTAGTTACTACTGAGACTGGGGTTCAGCATTGGGCTTAGTAAGCACTGATAATAGTGTTACTTTGTTAGGGTTGACATGAACCCAGGCCAATCAGGGGTCAGTTTCCATGCTACTCGAGTCTCCAGGGCCAATATAGAAACTCATGTTATTGGGGCGTGTTCGGTTTAGGCTGAAGAGAAGATGAAGGATATCTGAGGGTGATGATGCATGTCAGGATGGAGCTTCCACATGTTCAGAAGAAGAAACACGCAGTGAGCATCGGATGGCTCAAGGCGATGAAACCGATGAGTATGACGGGTTTGAATAGGGTTGGGTTAACATATCAAGACATGAATGTCTTCATGGTTGTTTGGGACAGATCATGATGATGGTTCTGTAGGGCTGTTAGAGGGTATGCATGAGCCGTTTCAATTGGTTTGACACTGCTGATAGAGATCAGGTTTGGCTTTCTTCAGGAAAACCGGCTAGAGGTAGGGGTACTCTCTCTCTCTCTCTCCCTCTCTCTCTCTCTCTTTCTCGCTCTCTCTATGTATAACAAATATAGATACAAAAATAATTCGTATACACATCCGCACCAGCTTCGACAGCTGTCTTGGAGCTCCAGACTCGAAGGTCGTCCCACTTTCTACGGGCACGAGCCCCCCGCGGCTCCAACCTGCTGAGCCAGCGGCTTTGAGCGTGAAGGATGAGAGGAGCGGGCTCCAAAATGCTACATGGCATCTAGTATATGTACTATAGTACTATATAACACATTATAGTGTATGTTCTGGGTTTTTAATACTTGACCAGCTGCGCTTTGCAATTTATCTGATTTTGGGCTTGGCATTGCTCCCTTCTCTCGCGCGGCTTGCGTGATCTGCGCGTTGCAGCGCATGCTTAGTGCTTGTATCTTGGTATGGGAGCTGCATGAGCATGGTGAGCATGGTCTTACTCAGCACGCCGTCGTTTTCAGAAGTGCGAGAAGTTCTCAGGTCCATCCTCAAAGCTGAGGAGCAGAACAACACTGGCGAAGGCTTCCAAGGGTTCATGCAACCTCTCTTGACACTTTTGCAAGGGCTTCCCCTCATTTGTGGGAGGTTGCCTTATAAGGTTCTCCTCGACACAAGCCGCTGCTGTTGTGTGGCTTGGTGCATTTGCAAGCCGGCCACCTCTTTCCGAAGAGGCATATCTTGATGCGAAGGATAGACTTGTAACCCCGAGAAGTATGCCATCAGACCTTTGCCTGCTTTCGCTGCCTTCTTGGAGTGTGGCTCGAAGAAACTTCTGACTGGGCTCGATCCGACGCTGGGACATGGCTGCACGGCCCTCAGTGCGACTTGAGCTGTGCCTCGGCCATGTGGGTAGTTGTCAAAATCATGGTCCCTTCTGGGGTACCCTAAATAATAGGTGCCGTATTATAATAAGGACCCACAAAGGGACCATAATTTTGACAACCACCCATGTTAAAGCATCCTGGAGCCCTGGTTTTCCAAGGCCACGAACGGAGCCGGGGAGGCCGAATTTAAGGCCAAGATCCGGGAGCCAGGAGGCTCAGTCTCGTGTTTTGTCCGTTTGCACTTTGACGGGCCCAGCGTACTTGGGTGAATGGTGCTTCTTTGCTCTGTTTACCTAGCTTTCGATGCATGCAGGTTGTGGCAGCTAGGTACTCTTGTGAGTGGCTGGATGAGGTGCCTATGAACACGGAGCGGGTAAAAGAAGAGCTTCGCAAGACCGTTCCGAGTTCCTGATCTCGTAGAACTCTTACCCCACATGCGCTGTACTGTAGGGCTGATTATCCGGTACTTCTATGATCTTCTATGTTGAGTAGTAGTACTATTCTTGCTAGTATCACTGTTACGAGGTATCTGGACCTTACCCTTCCGGAGTGCTTCATCCCGGAGCTGGGGGAGCAGAAGCAGGGCAAGGCTCCTGCAGGTCTAAGGTTCTTCGGGCTTTTTAGGGTGAGTTCACTGGGCCATTATGGGCCGAAGTCCTCTCCATGCGCAGCATCGCAGTGTCATGCGCTTGGGCTTCGGGTGCAGGTTCGAAGCATCTACTTCTCTGGAGAGAATGTGGTCATGGTCACGAACGATCGTGCCCAGCTTAGTTTCCAACAGCCGATCGAAGGTCTATGTTTCGATGAGGGAGATTACGGCTAGCCTGCGGCGCAGCCGAAAAGTGCACACTGAACACGAAATCGGTGATCTTTTCAGGTGTCTCAGCCTTCGATTACATCTTGCCGAGATCCTGGCTGGTTTTAATCCTGCTCGATGCGTTGCGTTTCTCACAAACCCTGCCGTGAACTAATCTGTCTGGGATTCAGCACCCGGGCACACGAAAGCTTTGACAATCCCAGTGCTTTTTCTCAGACATCCCTGACAGTCTTAGCAGCACTGCCCACGCGTTCAAGAGGAGCGAACACCAACAACGGTCAAGTCTGGGAATCGTTGCAGGCCTCGGTTCGCAGTCTTCTTCAAGTGGATCAGATAGACGTATTCTTTACATGCCCCATTGTAATATACATATATTTTTTATATGCTGTCATATATTGTAATACACTGTGTACTATCGCATGTAGAAAATAGTATGCAGTTTATAGTACATCGTATCTACTATATGCTATACACTATATGCTACATACTACTACCTTATACTGTATACTATGTGCTATACATTTCTATTTTATATATTAAATACGACATACTATACACTATACACTATACACTATCCTATGCACTCTACTGTACTGTACTAGACTAGACTAGACTATACTATGCTATGATGCAATATACATCGAATGTAGTATAAGTCAAAATATACCATCACAAAATACACTGCGACATGGCACAATATCATGTAATGTATTTCGTATAATGTGATATGATACATCTGATATGGTGCAATACACTATACAAAAATGAAATATTCTAAGAAACTCCATTGCTTGGGTGCCAGGAACCTCATCCCTTTCAAAGGCCAGGTCCTGAACATGATCAGCGAGTGGGCCTTCAGCCAGACCAAGGCACCCTAGCATTTCGATTTCGGGGCTTCGCCGTGTTAAGACGGCCACTGCCGCCACGGGAATTCTGTTCAACATCACTAGCATCACCTGGATCATCATCACCATCAGCGTCACCATCGTCATCGTCGTCACGTTCCCCATCGACACCATCACCGTCACCATCACCAATCGCATTACCATCGCCATCACCATCACCATCAACACCATCACCATCCCCATCACCAGCAACATCACCATCACCATCACCATCACCATCACCATCACCATCACCATCACCATCACCATCATCATCATCATCATCATCATCATCATCAAAATCATCAAAATCATCAAAATCATCATCATCATCATCATCATCATCATCATCATCATCAGCGTCAGAATCATCATCATATTTAGCAGCAGCAGCCGAGGCAGCGGCAGCAGCAGCAGCAGCGGCAGCAGCAGCAGCAGCAGCAGCAGCTGCAAACCACCACCACCCACCACCCACCACCCGCCACCCACCACCCACCACCCACCACCCCACCCACCAACCGCCACCCGACCCGCCACCCGCCACCCGCCACCCG